ACATTATCTATGCACTAAAAATCGCATAAAAATCGGCAATTAACCGTGAAAAATCATACGAGATATCGTTAATCGCGATTAATGACCGATTTTTGGTGATTTTCAGGTGGTTTTAGTGATTAATCGCAATTAGTTGAAATGTTTTTTCTAGGTGTTAGGTTCGAATCCATCTTACAAAATACATATTTTTGTCTATTTTTTCATTGTTTATTATGGATAATGACATGTACGTCACTTAGCAACGGTCTTAACACCAACTGAAGTCAGAGCCTTGCCGACGAGTCGATTTTAGACGTTTTTCAGATACCAGCTGTCCACTGGGCTCCTACACTTAAGACCCTAAGGGATCATACAGAAGACTCTTAACAACTCCGGTTTACTCTAAAATAAAAAAATGATCTAAATTGAATTTCTCGTTGAAATTGTGTTTATTATATACATACTTTACGGAAAAATAAAACGGTGAGTAAGAATAAACCGTTTAATCACTTTAAACCAACAATTAATCGCATATAATTGATAATTTTTAGAAAAGGAGAAAAATCATCGGAATCGTCAATTAATTGTTAAAAATACCTTCGAGAACAAAACTTTTCATTTTTTGGTCATGACCTCCTCTAAAATAACTTTTTCAGGAAGCTTGATTACATTATGTTCTCGAAGAAAAGTCCGAGTAAAACATAATGTAACCAGACATGAGCGCCAGTAAAAAATTTTCGGCGGTGGCAAATGAACTTTTTACCACAGGCGGCGGCAGCGCAAGCCTATGAAGATTTCATCCGCCTTCGACGGTGGCGTGTAGAGTTGGTTCTCGGCGTCGAATCTCATAATTTAAGTAAAACAACGTTCTCTTTCATTTTTGGCACGTTCTTCGCGCACCAACTGTATTCGTACGTTGCCGTATGCGAAAAGACAGAAACGCGCTGCACGCTAGATGCCTAAGGTAAGAACGTACTAACAAAAGTAGTCAAAATTTTCGGAAAAAAAATTTTCTCAACCCTCGGCAGCGACAAAAGTTTAACGATATGGCGGCGGCGCCGAATCGGCGAACCGGCGCGGCAGCGCACATCTTTGGATGTAACCAGGCTTTAAAAAACAAATTTCACACCATTGGAAAACGGGGAAGATACAATGCGTGACTTTCTTGAAACAGCGCTTGGATTCTCTGAGATATGCGTGTATCTAGAATTAGTCGTTCCAGAAAATCAGCTAATTAGTATGATTATCTTTCATGCTAAGCTTCTTTTCTATGATCTACGCACACTTAATTTTAATCAGCGCAGAAAGCGGCTTCTCTGATCTGTTCTGCGCTTATTCTACGCGCTGGAACATGCTGAATTTAATTCTAATATTTTCAGCTCAAGAAACAGTGCAGTTTCGCTAAATTTTGTTATATATGATACCCTACGTCTTGCACAGTGTAATCATTGGTTCTTATGGCGCCAATGTGAGCGCTACTATAGGCCATAAGAATGAATTTCGCTGTAGAGACTGGAAAAAACGTTCAGAGAAAAATGGGTTTAACCAAATTTTCATGTTCACCAGAGTATCTAGCCTAGATTATATCTGTAAAAGGAAATCGAATAAAAACGCCCGCTCAGAAGTTGTTAAAAGTCATATGGAAGAGACACTTCTCGCGCGCGTGCGAAGAAACTCTGTCTTGCAGAGAACACAATGGACCACGCCGACCGGTACGGCAGTCAATTCACGTGGTAGGCAGGGTCGCAAATAACGGCTGAGCTCCGTCCCTGAATGTTGCGAGTTTAGCGGGTTTTTTTGTAGGTCTATTTTATAAACAGGATTTTCGAGAAAGTGGTCGGTTTTCTTGCGAAATGTCCCTTAAACGATAGCGTCATCACAGTAGGGATTAGAAATCATTTCTTTGATTAGGTTTATTCAAAAACTAAGTTTAATCCGAACAACCCAAGCAAATATCACCTATGGGAAAAATCTGGATACATTTCGTCTGTAATCGGGCGATACACGACTAGTTGCCATCTAGATTACTAGTTGGAAAAGGGACTTTTAACTAGATGCGTCTGCAGGTGCATCTAGTAATAGTTAAATCGATCGATTATCGGACGATAAATCGATAGTTGCAACTAGAAAAAATCTATAGTTTGAGTCAAATATATTGCTGTACAGAAATATTTCCTTATCTGAAGTGGCGATCCCTTTCGTTCTAAACCTTGAAAAAATATTGTTTATCACACGCTGTTTCTCCTTCGCCATACTGAGAAATAAAACATCTGCTATAACCGCGTCATGCATGTCGTGTTTATGGTTTTAGTATAAATATCGATATGCCTTATCGAACATTATCATACCAGGAACATACAGTTATTAATTCCGAAAATGAACGCTGCATTAGCTTTAATATATCTTGCGTGTTTTGGTACCTGTATAGCTCTTTCTCCGTCGATATTTCATTGGCAAAAGTTACAAAATCAGTTGCCTAGTTATGAGATTAATGCACTAAATTCAAATCGTCAGCAAGAAGAAAGCCAACCAGCCACGAACCTTGCACAGGCTCAGGTTAATGAAACGAACGACTTTGTGACCCTGTACGCACTCGACCCAATCGCTCGTACATTCTGCTTCAGTGATGGGATGTATGGCATGGAAATAGTAGACTGGGAAGTTTTCAATCGGGACAGCGATATTGACTTTAACGGTTACAAGCCTGGTAGCTTTTCCATCGGTATAGAGGGTGGTCGAGTGGGTACCATCATCGACCTTGGCACTACAGCAGATCTCCAAAAAGAATTTGGGTATCCCGAGACGATTGGTGGCGGCCAAGGGTATGCATCGATCCACCGCGATGGAAAGATAATTCTTATCCTGAAAGACGACCAGAGTACCAGGACGTACCAACCAATGAAGGAATCGGAACAGCTCTTCCAGGACGGAACATCATTAGCAAATGCTATTATCAACCTCGGACATTTCTATCTCCTCCGGATAACCGACCGCAATCAAGCGGCTTTTGAACTGGTTGTCAAGATGCTGGTGACTTCGTATAAGGAGAATGAATCAGTCACGATCCGATGGCAGGTTCTGCAGTAGCTGTACGAATACCATAGAGTAAAGGAATGAACGAAACTTTTCGGACTAAGCAAGCATCACTATACCGATTTACAACAAGGCAGTGATTTACGTGTCACCTGACAGTCCTTAAATTTCAGTTATTACACATTTTGATAACTTTTTTGTTTTTGACTTAATCATAGTTTTCTATATCTGGCTGGTAAGAAAGAAAGGATTTTTAATCCCATGTGTATTTATTAAGGCTTAGTAAGCAAAAAAGCTGTCTCTTGGTACGTTCGAACGAGCTGGTGTACAATAAGGACGATACGATTGAATAATAAGATTCTACTGATGTAAGCATTTGAACAACACTGCGGACTGTATATGCATGAGATTAAACAGAATATGTATACCGTTTTAGAAAACTGCTCCAGAGAAGCAGTCCATAGAAATGCTTTTCATTGAAATAAATTTTTCTTATAACAGTTACCATGTGGTTCAACTAGGCATAATTTTTGTTCATGTTATTAGCGAATAACTGTCTTACTCCGTCTGGATTTTCTCACCGTTGCATCAGTAGCAAAAAAAGGAATATTACAAAAGTACATTTTTGCTCCGCATAAAAGCTTTTTGCGTACATAATTGTGTAGACTCGAACAACGTACTAACTCCCCCTCCCCCCTCATAATAGAAGACCCTTCTACGGGAATGATGTGAAATTCACAGTAAAAGACCCTGTAATGAATCCTTCGGAACCTCTTTAACTGTTTTTAGATTTACAGCAGCCATATATTGAATTTAAATTTATTTAATTAAAAGAGATGTGACGTTTGAACTCTTCATAGACTCATTTTCAGAGAAAAATATAGAACACTACTGTACTTAACACTTGAAAATTTGTGAAATGGAAGGGAAAAAATTTTGTCTTGATATAGTGTGTTACTGATGAATAATCAGTATTTCTATTATCAGTCATTTTACGCCATTCTTTCATAACTTATTGGTGAATCGTGTCTAATGGAGAGTGAAGTTACAAAGAATAAAAGAGAAGCAATCTTTTGTTTCTGTAGGAAGCAAATATATTTTCTTCGTAGGAAAGAAAAAATAATTTTCAGCGAGAATGAGAACAATAGGATACAGGAGATTGTTTCACAGAAATTCTTAAGTCGTCAGCTTAAGTCCATGTCTTATCTTAGTTTGAGACAAACTTAAGTTGACGAACTTAAAGTGTTGCACAGCTTCAAACTTAAGTTTTACTTAAAGTTACGTGCACAACTTAGTCGCACGATCTTAAGTTCATGCACTTAACTGATGCATAGATACATTGCAATCTGTGCGTACTTTTACCAAAAAGAATAGAGTTCGTGATAGTTTGGGTATGACGTGAGCGTATGAAAAATATGGGAAAAGAGAGAAAATGATCAAAAAAAACAAACAAATAGTAAAGGGTGTATCCAAACTTTTAGATAGCATTCTCATTTTCGTTTAAATATTTCTGATTCACTGAAATGTCTACAAACAGAAGTGCGAACTGGTGGGCCGAAGAAATAAGAATATTGATTGAATCCATTCACGAAATGGAAAAGACTCTTTTTTCAAAGTTTAGCAATAAAATAATACTTGAAAGGAAACAAAAATGCTGGATACGTGTGGCCGATAAAATTAGTGCACTAGGATATGCCGAACGTTCTGCACTGGATTGTAGAAAAAAATGGCTGAACTATTCTTCGGTGGTAAAAGGTAGAGTCACTTGTTCACAGTTGATAAAGATATTGATCTAAGAAGAACTGAAACTAAAGTAATCTACTATATTTAGATGTGTAGCTGGAGAAATTGTAGTTGCCTTTGTCATTAAAACAATGGTCGTTGATTTATCGCTAAAAGTTTCAGTTCTCTATATATTGGATATTAGTCCTTTAACTTAGTGAGTACATTTTTCTGCTGAAGCAAAAATAGCTGACAATAGTCGTCAAATGAAAAAAACTGGAGGAGGTCCACCACCAAGACGTTCAGATGCAGTGGAAGAAAAAGTGGTTGATATTATCGGTATGTGAGTAGATTAAAACACAATTGTTTGATGTAAAGTAAGGTATCAATGATGTCTGTTTAAGGGGACGTGTCACTTGAGGGAGTAGATACGGCGGATTATCTCTCCGATACGCCGTATAGAAAACTTGAATTTGTTTTCCCAGGCGTCGTTTCAAGCGCCAAATATCAATAGTTTCGACGATGATAATCTCATAGATGGTGATTTTGATGACGATTGTTTTCAAATGCAAACGACTACAACTACACCCAAAACACCGTTACCACATGAGAAAAAAACGCATAGTATTGGTGCCTGTTTGATGCAATTAGAGGACCATTCAACAAAACAAAAAATGAAACGTGAAGACGAATACAAGAGTATGTTCAGAGGACTAAGGAATATTCATTCTATCACGAGACTTTGATCTGTTTGCAGTCAGAATTTTCGGTCCAGAAAGACAGTGGATACCTAACAGAAGAAGAAAAAGTTTTGAATATAAACTTGCACTGATCTAGTTAGTGAGAGATAATTGTTGTACTTTGTAGGACTGATGTCGATGCAAGAAAAAAAATTGATCCTGAAAACAGAAGAAGTTGAAGCGGCAAAAACAACGGCACATGCAATGGGACAACTTATTGAGCTGCAAAAAATTCAATTGAGTGTCCGATGTGAACAAGTGAAAATATCGTCTCGATTATACGAAATTCGATTAAAAACAACAAATCCTGATTATGATATGAAAGAAGATCAAACGTTAAACCAAACGGTTTTGAATTTGATCGTACCAATTGATACGTGATTGGTATGAACACGTGAAAATTGTAAAAAAATGATTAATAAATAAAAGAGGAGAAACGAAAAATTTTGTTTTAATGTTTTTTTAAGAAAAATATGCCGCTATTGCTGCATCTCTTATCTCGGTCCCGTCGATATTCCTTGATTAGCCCACATCATCATCAAAATCATCCAACATAATTTGAGTAACGGCGTCTTCACCGTCTGGTAGTTTGTGTTTTCGCGCAATATTATGGAGAATCATACATGATAGGATGATCTTGATACATCGCTCGGGACTAAACAGTAGTCCACCTGCAGACATATCCAAGCATCGAAATCTCGACTTCAGAACTCCAAATAACCGTTCGATTGAGCAACGGCTTTTTTTGAGACATTTCTTGTATCGTCTCTGTGAAGCCGTTGTTGGATTTAGTAGTGGTGTTAAGAGCCAAGGTCGTAACGGATATCTCCCACCAGCCATGAATCACCTGTTAAAGTAACAAAATCTTCTCTACAACTGTTTTTTAGCTTTTACAAATATAATGATATCGTTTTTCGTCGTTTGGTCGGTTTATTATTAATTAACGTGCTAAGTTTGTGGGTTATTTCAAGATATTGAAGTCCTTTCTTATATGAAATTTAGCTGTAAGCATCTCATTTAAAGATGAAATAAGAGTGGATATCATCATTCTTGAAAATAATCGAAGGAAATATCGTATAGACTTACCGAGAACGTCATGACTTAGCTCATAAGCAACGGCTGATTGATTCAAAATAAATGCGTCATGAGAACTTCCCGGTCATTTTACAATAGCATTTTTAATTAATAAATCAGCATCTCCGATGACCTGGCAATTAATACTATGAAAATTTTTGCGATTTACGTATCTGACTTCATTTTCTACTGGGCGTTTGATAGGTACATGTGTACAGTCGATAATTCCAATTGTACGAGGAAATCTAGAATAATCATAAAGCTTTTGTTTAATTGTGTCAGTTTCATTTGCATCTGTTGGAAAGCTAATAAAATTATTGACTTTTTCAGATAGAAGACAAGATACGATAAACAACCCGAGAAATCGTAGCTTTGCTAACAACATGTATGTGGCCATCAACGTTGAAGAATGAGCCAGATGCGTAAAAACGCAAAGCGATTAACAGTTACATCAAAGCAGATATTGAATTACTACAACCGTTGCTGGCCGAATTAGGGGTTCAACAATGTCGAGTAGTTCAGAAATGATCTTTCATGGAAAACGATAACGCGCCATCAATAAATCGTCTGGCATCATTTCCTTAGGGTTTTGTCTATCAAAAAAAATTCTTTCACGGTGTAACGCCCTTCTCAATAACCACTGATTAACTAGTGCCATTATTTCTTTTATTTATTTCGCAAAATACAAGTGTCAATAAAAAATAGTTAAAAAATGTTGTTCGTTTACTTTAATACTTCAATTTTTATATCATATTATAATCGCAGCAAGAGTTAAGACAAACTTAAGACAAGCACAGACTAGTCTTAACTTAAGCATGGACTTAAGTCTAACTTAAGTTAAGTCTATGACTTATGAAATTCTGTGAAAAACTCAAAATTAAGTCTAGCTTAACTTAAGACAAAACGGAGACTTAAGTATGACTTAAGTCTAAGTCGAAGACTTAGCAATTTCTATGAAACACCTCCCAGAGAATATATATAAATACCAAACGGAGGGGAAAATGGATGATTTTTAAATTTCATCGATATCAGCTGTAACATCAAACAGTAAGTGGTAACGATACTCGACTCTTTATGCACAGAAATTCGTACTAAAAGACCCCTCGTAATAGAAGATCCCCTAAAATATTTGTACACTAGAACATAATAGAAGACCACGGATCTTTTATTACGAGGAGGTTTAGTAGAAAAACGCTAGGGACACTACTTCTCTCGCATACATTGTTAACTATGAAATTGTTTCTCGTGTACCGTCAAATAAACGTTTATACGTACCATACTTTAGGTTGTGGTCGCGTGCATATAAAGACGATGAAGCATTCAGTATACATTATAAACGTCGAATAATTTGGTTTTAGCGTATATTCAGATTCTGTTTGAGAGGCGTCTTTTATCTATGAAAAGTAAACGACAATCCTGAAGAAAATGTCCTGACTCATTTTTGTTTTTTGATTTGTGATACATAGACATTACGCTAGAAATGGCCGTAGATCCGTCGTCATGAGATGGACCGGATGCAGCTTGAAATTGTTGATAGACTGTAAAGCTCGAGTTCGACTAAAAATATGCTGAGATTTAATCCGTTGTTCGATAGTGAATTCAAAATCCTTTTTCTGAAGTTTGTGGTGCTCTGAGTACACACGTTAGCACCATGTTAACATCCTCTTCTAAAAAGTAAAATGAATCAGAGTTTAATCAGAAACCTTAGTAGTTCGAGTATGTATATAGTGCTGAAAACAGCCGGTGTCACTACTATTCGAGTCTTTGTAAGAAAGTCGATTTGTTCATCAAAAGGAAAAAGGTTTCTCGATTACGTCATTAGTTTAACATTATATTATATTAAATTGAGCTAAAGCCTACTCAGTTTAATAAATATGTCAAAAGCATGTAGATCGGTGCAATAGAAAAATTTAAGTGCGCAATAAAACTCATTTCTTCCATATTATTATTATGATCTAAACTTAGTTCCGTTGTTATTAACGCTTTTGAAAAATATTTTCTTGATCATTTTTCTTTCTAAAATAACAACTAGGAAAGGCAAAGTGAGCAGTCACGTGGATATTTTACAAAAAAATCGAAAGTACGCTTTTTTAAAAGTCAAATAATGTCAGATATATCAAAGTTACGAAAAGCTCAAAATAGGACTTTTTGAATAACATATGGCCATATGTATGCATGTCCGTCATACTCATTACTCACTATTTACTTGCAGGTCCGTCGCACTGCTATATGACCATAGCTATGTACGCCCGTCACACCGCCGCATTAATATATGCATATCCGTCCGTCATAGCAGTGCACGGACACACAAAGAAACACTTTATTTCCGTACCTCCCACAGTGGACCGGACATTTGGAATCAACCGGACATTTGGAGAAAAAACGAAAGTGAGATTTTTCGAGATTCAAACAGTGCCTTATATGCACTGGCCGACGGCAAATTTAATGGTGAAAAAATTTTGATCCATCTGCTTAAGGTGGTCTCGAAAAATACGTCTCAATTTTCTCACCGCCGCTGAAGGCGTAGAAACACTGTTGCGGCTTCCGCCGCCGCCGCCGCCATGCCGTTAAACTGGTGCCGGCACCGAAGACGGAGAAATTTTTTCTGAAACTTTTGACTCTTTTTGTTAGTACGTTCTCACCTTATGCATCTAGCGTGCAGCGCGTTTCTACCTTTTCGTATACGGCAACGTACAGATACATTTGGTGCGCGAAGAACGTGCCGCAAATGGAAGAGAACGTTGTTTCGCTTAACTTATGAGATTCGCCGCCGCCTAAGGCAGAAGAAACTTTCATAGCCTGGCGCCGCCGCCGCCTATGGTAAAAATTTCATTCACCGCCGCCGAAACTTGTTTATCGGCGGACATGCCTGCACATGACTATAGCTATGTTCGCCAGTCCCAATGTAACATGACTATATCTATGTACGTGCGACACACTCACTTGTCATTATATGTATGTATCTCCGTCGGACTGTCACATAACTATATGTATGCGCGTCTGTCACGCTGCCACAGGACTATTTGTATGTACGTCCGTCACACTCAGTGGTCGTTATGTGTTTGTACGTCCGTCACAGTATCATATGTGTATATGTGTTCAGTTCCTTGACACTGCCACATGACTAGTTGTATGTACGTCCGTCACACTGCTACATCACTATATGTAACACTTTGTTTCCTATTTATAGTCAATAGAATAAAATATATTTTTAAAAAAGTAGTGGTATGTTTCGAGAGCGTCCTTTATCACCTTGTATAGTTACTCGAAACCGGTCGGTTATTTCTTCCGCTTCTTCACTTGCACAGATTCTGTTGCAGCATCGCTGATATTCTGGTGAAAATCAATTTTGCCATCACATAATTCGCTTTTGCTAGGATAATTACGTAAGCTATCTTCCCTGGCTGCTTCAGCGGCATAATATGAACCAAGATCATTCAGTTTGTCGAATAGACGGATTTGTTGGTCATTCTTCAGCACTTGACGTAATGTTTCTAAAGTGAAAATGGAAAATCTATACCCGCTTTTGCAAATACTTTGACAGACTCAGCGTTTTTTAAAATCGAAGGAACTTTTGCAAGAGATTGTATCTTTGACTTCAAATTAAGAATGAGATAGTGAAATATAAACCTATATAAAAGCAAGCAGGCATAAGACTGCTAGATTCTGTGCGAAAAGTACTGAGCAAGAAACAAGAAATATCCCACACTTCTGGCGCGACAAAGCAACGTGTTGCAAGGGTTTACACAAAACCAATATCCGCTAGAGATCAATGAAAGTTATAGAATCCTTACGCTGTTGTTGTCATGAACTGAAAGGTTTTAAATAATACAGGTTCCTTGCTACGTCATAAACCCATCTCTGCTAGCCTCTCAGAACATTCTATCAGCTTCCTGAGCTATGGAGGTTTTTATCAGTCTGTGTGGGGCGTTTTTCTGGCAAAAAAAGGGACAAGAAGTATACTGCCTTTCAATTGAGAAATCTGTTGTAGGAGAAAAAGAATATGCCATACACACAATAGCAAATATGCGACGTCATTCTCTTTTTAGTTAAGGTGCCGCTAAGGCAAAAACGGAGCAGATTCAAAAGTAGTCGAATCATACACCATTCGATAGCCCTGACAATTCTGACCTAGGGTCTTCATGATCAGATTTCAATTTGGATGAAATTTTCAGGT